TACCGAATGCCTCTTCTCAAATAACACATTTGGCATCCAATGTAAAGAATAGGTAAGACTCCCAGCGTCAGTACAATACCAGCAACATAGCTGCCCGTATCAAATCTGGATCCTCTACTTTCTTGAGAATGAACAGCTGTTGTCAGCGAGGTCACCAAACTACTGTGGGTTGTGGTCACCATGGGTATTGACACGTGGGATATGTTCGGTGACATACTCTTTTTTTAGGTGTAGACTTTGAGGTGGTGGGAATTGCACTGATTGAGACTCCTGGTGTTGCCATTTTAGAAGTCGCTGTGGATTTCATGGGGACAGCTGTCACGGTGACGGAGACCAAGGAAACTGTAGTTGTTAATGGTTTCACAGTGCTGCTGATACCACTGGATCTGCTTGTATTGTTGGGAAGACACAGGCTCTGTTAGGTTAGCACTGGAGTTGGCCAGTGGCACAGGAATCTGGAGATGCCTGCGGCTCGCCGGCGCCCGTGAGCGCCAGCACCTGCAGCGCCGCTAGGAGCAGCGCGGCCTGAGCGCTGTGCATGGTCGGGCGGCGCGGGCTAGGGCGCAAGCGCATCCTCTGCGCGCTCTGGAGCCCAGGGAGCACTCGCAGGGCGGGGCGGTGGGGCCTTTCTATTAGTTTTTTACATATTCTGTGTAAGTTTAAAGAAAATATGTATTCTCGGTTAGGTACAGGGTTCATTACATTAATTGTGTAAATCTTCTACATCCCTACCATTTTATGTGTTTGATTTATTGGATACTTGGGTGTATTTTTTAAACTGTCTCTGATGATGCTGATGATGGGTGCGATGATAATGATGATATGACAGTGGGTCTGTGCCTTTCTTCTTAAAACTCTACCAAGTTTTGCTTCATATATTTTGGAGCTATATTGTTAGATGCAAACTACATTGTATATTTCTGGTGAATTGCCTCTTCTATTTTTATATGATCACCCTCTTTATCTCTAAAAATACCTTTAAAGATCAATTTTGTCTGACATTAATATAGTGGCCCCAGCTTTCTTCAGTTATTTATCTACTACATCTTTTCAAATCACTTATTTTCAATATTTATGTGCTTGGGATTTTTGTTTTGTTTTGTTTTTGGTTGGGGGAGGTTTTGTCATTGGGTTTTAAATAGTTACACATAAAGTTTTCCTTTTTCATTTTTTCAATGTGAATTTTTAGATTCGTAAACATTTTGAGGCGATATCTCTACTCACCTCACAAATAATAAGGGCTTTAGAATAACTTAATTCTGATCACTCCCATCTTAACATGATATTATTTTCCAGTATTTTACTACAATGTGTTTTTCATACACCTCCAATTTGTTCAGGCACAACCATACCCACATGTTCAAATGTCAAAACTTACTAAAACAGAGACTCCAGGCTGTGAATTCGCATAACAGAGGTGTATATTTCTTTTCACATCACAGTCTAGAAAGTAAACAGGTAGTCCACTCCGGCCAGGCAGCTCTGCCCCATGGGGGTCATCATCCTGGACAGCTGTCTTCTATTTTATTTTTTTACTTCCCCTCCCCAGGGTTAAACCTGGCCCTAGAGTATTCTCAACTACCACACTGTACCCTTAGAAATTATTTTAACCACCTGAATGATAATTCCTCTACCATGTCCACTCTCTACCCTACAAGGAGGAAGACAAAATTGAACACAGCAACTTACTTCAAGGAAGTGACCTGGAAGCCTGTGTGATTTTTTTTTGCTGCAAGGGATGTTGGGAAGTGTAGTTTCTGGCTGACTGACCAAAAGCCTAGATAAAATTGCAAAAGGAGTAGGTATTAGAAAGGAAGAGGGTAAGGGGCTTTGGGGTGCAGACATCACGAGAATCCAGTGTCCTTTCCTGATACTCTCTGTGTTTGCTTCAATTTAGGCAGCATCCCCACAGAGACTGCAAAAATGGTCACGAACAACAATAATCTCATGCTCTCTCTCTTTTTTCTTAAGACAGAGTCTCACTATGTACCTCAGGCTAGCCTTGAGCTCATGGTGATCCTCCTGCCTCAGCCCTCAGCCTCCTGAGTGCTGAGATTACAGGCATGTGCCAGCATGCTTCCCCATATGGTCTCTTATTAGTAATTCGGGGGTGGGTGGGAGAGAAAATACATGGCTTTTAGGCTAGTTCCAGCTAAGGTCTTGGATTTCTTGTAACTAGTCCTTTGTGGATCAGATGCTTATTACTAAACTAGTCACTTTTGCCAGGGAGATGGAATTCTCTGGTAGACAGGTGTGAATCATCTAGTCAGCCCTTAAAGACGAGTGGGGTAGGATTAACCCCACCCAAATCATGTGGCCTGAAAGTAGGAGAAGAAAAGTTCTCAAAAGTGAAGTAATGAGGTATGTAGTATTACAAGCAGAATAGATTTAACAGGCCTCATAAAAGATAACCATGAAGCCTATTTGCTCTGCTGGGCCATTGGATTATACAATTGAATGTTTCAAAAACCCAAGTGAATAAATATGGAAGGTGGTGGTGATAGAATTGACTGTTACACTTTGCTTATACTTCTCCTGCTCTTGTGTTATTCATTCAGCAACTGTGTTCACCTCTGTTAGGCTGGCCATACCATTTGCTGACTATTTACCTATGTGTCTGTCTCCCTGTCCTCCCATAACACACACTTCCAACTGATGGCTTCTCTAGATCTAAAATCCATTTGTATCCTACAGTGAGTTGGTATCAGGACACTAAACTTACACAAGGAAAAAAAGGTTAAAGTCTCAATGACTCTCAGAATAGGCATCTTCCTCCAATTTTTAGTGTTTATTTTACATTTGGAAATCATTATTGGATTGAGCATGGAGGCACATTCCTATAATCCCAGCTACTAGGAAAACTGAGGCAGGAGGATCAGCTGAGGTCTTGAACTTTGGCTCATGAGTTCAAGACCACTCTATGCAACAGAATGAGCCTTGTAGATATATATAAAAAAGGAAATAATTACTGAAAAGACATCAGCTAAATCTAGGGAGTTCTGCAGTACTGGGAGGAGGAAGTGTCAGACCAAATTATGTGGCTTACAGAAATGTATCTCCTAATGACTGCAAAACAGTGTCAGGCATCATTTTATTTATGGAATTCAAATCAAATCACCAAGAGGCAAAGACCCAAGTAGGAGGAAGTTCAGCAAATAATTGACTAATTAGAGCTGTCTTCTCATCTTGTTTGCTTCTAAGGTTAAGGGGGGCTGTGTTTTGCAATCAGTTGCTAATATAAACACATACATGCCTTTCTGCCCCAGCTTCAGTACCAATGCCCCAGCTGAACTGATGCTGAAAACTCTATCTGTATTGAGAAGGAAAGGCATTAAAGGCTGTGTGACGTGGTTGGTGGTAGGAAGAGGAGGACAATACGGGACACAAATGGAAAGACAAGGAGAGATCAAAAGATACTCAGGAATAAGAGGTCTGGTAGAGAAAGTGTTTGAGAAGCTTGCTTGGGAAGAGCCATCTGTGAATCATCTGGTGGGTCTTTTGAATACTGACAGTTGCCATTATTGACCATTTGCTACATGCCAGATATTGTAGTAAATGCTTTTAGTGCATTATCTCATGTTAGTTTTCAAAATAACCTTGCAGTTCAGAATTAACACCCTCCATCATACATGAAATTAAAGGTCAGAAATTGCAATGATTTGCCCATGGCCATGCAACAATGACCATGCAACAAGGACTACAAAGGACGGGATTTGGACCCCTGTAGATCTGATTTGACTCAAAGCTTCTGCTTCCGCATAGAGTCCTTAAGTGCCTCACAAACTACTTTGAGAACACTCCTATTTTCTCCACTCTACAGATGAGGGGACTGAGGCCCAGAGATGACCCACCTTCCAAAGTGTATCAGTTAGGGTTTTACCGGAGAAACAGATATAACACTGCATGTACAAATTACAAGAAATTACAAGATTGGCTTACGACGGTCAGCCAGAGAGTTGTATGGGGAAGTGTGCAGAGGGTGTCTGCACACTGAAGACCGAAGGAATCAGTCCAGGGTCTGGAGTTCACTGCAGTGTTCCATGCAAGTCCGTACCAGGAGGCCAATGAGTCTGCGACAGAAGGCTGAAGGATCCAAGAATCTGAAGCCCAAGAGTCTGCACCAGAAGTCAGGAGACTAAGTCCAAGCTGAAGGTGAAGACTGGAGCTCCTCCAAAGGGAATGGAAGTACCTCTGTCCTTCTTCATGTCCCTTTTATATTATCTAGGTGATGGTCCACCCTAGGGTGGCTCCTCTACACCATAGGGTGTAGAATTGCTGGGCCAATTGCTGAGCCAAGTTTAGTTATGCTTCTAAACTTCTCAAGTTGACATAATCAGTCAACCACTACAAAAAGATAATGCTAGAGCCAAACAGGGTCCATCAGAGTGCAAAATCTATTCTTCCCCCAAATTAGAGGAGGGGGCACAACATTCCAAAAAGCCCAGCACACGAGGCTCTACCTTTTCCTAGGGAACTATCTTCCATCCACCCCTTAACCACTTAGACCATTTTCCAGAATCTTCTTTGCACATCCCCACCCGAACTGAAGCCTCTGGCTGAAGGACTGGGTAGCTCTTGGGAGGGACTAAGAAACCTCTCCCACCCACCCCATAAGTAAGAAGGGACCTGGATGCCACCAGCCCTGGGGCTCAGAGTCCCCCACATCCGAGCAAGGTCTGTAAAGACTGACTGCTAAGGGCCTGGAGCAAGAATCAGCCACACTGGGTTCAAATACAGTCTGGTGACTGACCAATAACAGCAGCTCCCTTTCAAAGACTCTATTCTGGGACAGACATTTCACTAGGGCTTTCCTTCTTAATTTTTTAAAATTTACTATCCCCTTCCTCCAGTGATTGGCCCTATTTTACAAACGCGAGCCTCAGGGTCACCGAGGTGAAGCAACCAAAGCAATGACAAGTTGTCAGGGGCTTAGGATTTGAACCTATCAAGGCCCCAGATCCGCCGTTGTCTGGATGAAAAGAGGGAGGAGCCAAGGAAGGAGGGGAAAGAGAGAGGACAAGCTCCCAGCAGTGCGCGCTGACGACAGCAGGTGATTTTTTTCTGCAGCGGTCTTTCTCTCAGCATCTTTCCTGGATTTTCCCCCTCCCTCGCAGAGCGGCAGGAAAGGGTGGGGCCGCGTCTCTGCAGCAGAGGCGCCGGCGACAGCGGCTGCAGCATCGCCGCCTGCCGCGGCCGAGGCAGCAGTGCTCGGTCTCCGCTGGAGGTGACGGCCTCCAAGCCCTGCTAGGTGGACGGCTACACCTGGACACCCGCAGGAAGGAGAATCGAGCCGAGTCCACCGACCTCGCAGCCACACCGCCCAGCCCTTCCTCTGCGCCATGGCTTAACCCCCGGCCACCTCGCCTCGCTTCGCCTCGCCACGCCACGCTCGGCCGGGGTCTGCGAGCGCCACAGCGCAGGGAGGGGCGAGTCCCAGGCGCCCTCGCCAGGGACTCCGGGACGCCGTTCCTCTCGCCCTTCGCCCGCAGGAGCCGCGCCTTAGAAGGCGTTTGCAGCCGGTAAACCAGGGACTTTACAGACTATCTCAGTGTTAGCTTACCTCGGGTGTGCTCGGAGGGAGCAGGACCAGGTTACAGAAGGATCGGGAGAGAAAGCAGTGGGGATCGTACTGGCGGGTAGGGGCCAAGGGTAGAAGCAAGACTAAAAACCTGCTTTTTAGTACCACATAAAGAGAGGGCCAGCTTTGCATCTAGCATCATGGCGTGGCCGTGCATTACCCGGGCCTGCTGCATCGCCCGCTTCTGGAACCAGCTGGACAAGGCAGACATCGCCGTGCCGCTGGTATTCACCAAGTATTCGGAGGCCACCGAGCACCCGGGCGCCCCACCACAGCCCCTACCTTCATCCCAGCAGGCGCAGCCAGCGCGAGCGGTCGCCATAGAGACACAGCCAGTCCAGGGCGGGTTAGATACAGTTGCCCGAGCAACGGGGCCGGCGCCAGGGCCCAGCGGCGAGCGGGAGGCTGTGGCCGCGCCCAGCCGGAGCGCGCAGGGGCTGAGCGCTGGCTCCGGCTCCACTTCCGGGTCGGGCCCAGCGGACTCGGTGATGCGGCAGGACTACCGCGCCTGGAAAGTGCAGCGACCCGAACCCAGCTGCCGGCCGCGCAGCGAGTACCAGCCTTCGGACGCGCCCTTTGAGCGTGAGACCCAGTACCAGAAGGACTTCCGCGCCTGGCCGCTGCCGCGCCGCGGGGATCACCCGTGGATCCCCAAGCCGGTACAGATCCCCGCGCCCTCTCAGGCGTCCGCGCCTATTTTCGGAGCGCCTAAGCGCCGGCCCCAGAGCCAGGAGCGCTGGCCGATGCAGGCTGCTGCTGAGGCCTCAGAGCTGGAGGCGCCCAGAGAAGCCGGGGTCCAGGCTGCAGGAAAGGCATCGGGCGCAGATGACCGCGACACACGCAGAAAGGCTGGGCCGGCCTGGATGGTTCGTCGCTCCGAGGGCCACGAGCAGATGCCAGTACCTCCTGCCCCGGCCCAGGTGGGAGCTGGTGGCCCGGCGGCTGGAAAGGCATCGGGTGCAGATGAGCGCGACACACGCAGAAGGGCCGGGCCCGCCTGGATGGTGCATCGCTCGGAGGGCCACGAGCAGGC